TTTATATCAAACATATAGTTCCTTTACACGTCAGTATGAAACCTATAGGGTTTACGATTCGTTCAGAGCACTTGTTCCGTTTACATTTATATCAAACATATAGGGTTTACGATTCGTTCAGTATATTTTTATATTTGTTTGCTTAATTATTTAGGAAATATTAGTATATTTTTAATTAATTTTCGACCCATTAAGTGAATAATTTCATTAATACCAGAAAAAGTTCAAAAATAACAAAAACACCCCCACCCACCCAACTTCCCAGATTCTGCTACCGCCGACAGCACCGAACGACCGGAAATGGCCGGTAATGGCCATTTGTGACCTTTTCCGGCCATATCCACCGTCGTATGTGCCGGAAAAGGCCACATCTTCCGTCATGGACTTTCAATGAATGTCCACTTTGACGGTCAACGACGGCCAAATGTTGGCCATCGTTGACCGACAACGACGGCCATATATTTGGCTGTCACAGACGGCAAGCTCTAGAATTTTCCGTTCGTCTACGGCCAGTTCTGCGGATCGTGGGGCCTTTTCCGGCAACATCCGTGGTCGATCTGGCCGGAAAAGGCCATATAGAGGCCCTATCGGCCAGATCCGACCACTGTGCATCGAAACGCCCTTTCCGTTCAGATTCCGGCTCCGGTGGCAAGAATCTGTCACCGTGGGTAGGTGGGTGTATCTGTTAAATTTTAAAACTATTGCAAAGAATCGGTAAGCTATACAATCGATCGCTTAACGATCATTGATTGGCAGAAGCAAATCTGCCCAGGTCCATGATCGCTTAAGCGATCAGTGATATCGCTTAAGCGAATATTGTCTTTTTCCCCTGGTCGATTAAGCGATCGTGGATCGCTTAAGCGATCATGCACCGTGAGAATCAATCAGTCCAGTTGCACGATCGCTTAAGCGATCCCTTTATCGCTGCTATCCTCGCGAAACACTTTGTCGCTTAAGCGATACACTTAGTCGCTTAGCGATCGTGGGCAATATATACATTTGCATCTTTTCTCCTGAATTTTGACAAACTAAAATTACCAACACGTATTAATTCCATACTTTTTCCTCAATTTGACAACCTAATTCCAAACTATCACCAACAATATTTAGACCATGTAATAAGAATACACAATATAAAGATATTTTATTAAAGGTAACAATAAAATTTAAAACATCAATAATTTCATCCTTCTTCGAATCGACCCTAATTACTTCTGGCAACTGCTTCTCTTGTGACCAGGTTGCTTGCAAATTGAGCACTTATTCATCTTCCGGGGAACCTCAAAGGCTGATGAATACGCTTAACCCTTTTTTCTCCCCTTTGGTGTCTTCTTCAATGGCGGCTGAGGATAATGTCAACCACCTCTGGCAGCACTACCCCTGCTCTTCTGAGGCACCGGATATATCGTTTTTGAATATGCTAGCATGTAGTGATCTGTCATATAGAAAGGGAGCAAAGTTCCATGTAAATTCTTGAACCAAAATCCGGCTTCCGTTGGTGTTTCAGTGCTGCTAGTGCATGAGGACAAGGTAAATGTTGAATGTCAAGCACTTTACAGCTGCAAGTTTTTGTAACAAGGTTAACTAGGGCATCCGGACCATAGCCGCGCACATAAACTCTTGGCATTAAGAGGATAGGCAAACAGTGCATTTGACAGTTCCATATGTTCTCGCAATATTTTTTCAGCTGACGGAACAAGGGTTTGTGTAAAATTATCTGACTCCATACACGCTCATGGAACCACCGTGACAGTGTCCTTTGGATTGCATCAAAAAGTGCAACTATTGGAAACTCTCTTTCTATTAACAACTTCGAATTTATGGACTCAGCTATGTTCGTGTTCATGACATCAAACCTTCTTCCAGAAAGTAAGCTCTACTCCATCTCTCGAAACCACATCATGCTCAAGTACTTAGCAACTCTAACATCCTTGATTCGGATTTGCTGGAAGTGTTCCTCGAACTCATCAACCCGATAAGCTTTTGCTGCCATGTAGTATGTCTGAAGGAGGCCAGCACACTTAAACTTTTGTTTTATGTTCTCACCAAGGTGCCTCATACAGAATTCGTGATGTCTTGACGTGTAATAGTGGCAATCCCCTTCTTTATAGAGTTGTGCCTATCGGATATTATGCACAACTCGTCACTGTCAGGCACTATCTACGTAACTGCTGAAAAAACCAAGTCCACGACTCGTCATTCTCAGAGTCAACCACACCATGCACCAGGATATGTGTGATTCTCGCTGTCCGTGCAGTGGCCACCAACAATGTACCTCCATACTTTCCCGTTAGAAAGCAACCATCAACACCAACACCTTTCTCATGTTTACAAAACCCCTTATAGCAGCACCATAAGCAACAAAAATATTTAAACATCATATTCCGTCCCACTTCAAAGCGTCTTGCTACCTTGGTTTGTCACTCAAGCATATAACGGTACGCTTCTAATACGGCGTACCGTGCTCCGGCGTGCCCCTCACAAAATCTTGTGCATGTTGTCTACCTTTCCAGCATTTCCAGTAACTAACAGCACATCCCAACTCTGTGCGCACATCTCTGAATGTCTTTAGAGATGGACCTTTCCCTTCGAACCGACTTTGACAAATTGTCCAATAACATCAGCAGACGCTTGTCGATGCTCACCTGAAATATGTCCCAACCACATGTGTGCTCACGGGTATATGTGCTAAGAATAAACTTTCCGACTCCGCCAACCTTCTACAATAAACCCCCACTTGCAGTTTCGGTCACGACATCAACCGTCACAGCCAATGAATTTGACTTTTGGTTGAACTCAAAATTACCTTTCACAGCAACATTTTTAGCTTCCTCACCACTTCCTCTTTGTTGTCAAATAATACCTATGCGCAAGTCCGATCCATCCGTAAAGACATGAGTGATCCACTACTACCTCCAATTGCCCCCTTGAACCTGCATAAACGACCAAGTGTTCTCTTCCTCACAATCTACGCCTTCTGCATAATTGTATTTAAAGGAATCTCTACATCTGGGAACATCTACGGGGTCCTCCTCCTCAACATTTTCATTCTGCCCCCCATCACCAACCTCTTCTATAGTCCTCCTCACCACCCATTCACCGTCTACTCTTGATTTTTCAGCTAACAAATCAATGGCCTCGTATTCAAATTACAACCAGGCAAATCTCGCCTACTCCTCGTTTATCCCTTCCTTGAACCAACTTCCAACGGTTTTTCTACAACACCTTAAAATCGCCTCGAACCATATCGGCCACTCAATCATAATAAGTTCACACTTTCATCCGACTTTAATACAGGAGGCCTTATATTTTCAGGAGCTCTGCTTAAAACATACTTCACAACTATATCATTACGCGAGCAACTCAAATTACCTCTTCTAATTATTTCATCAATCAACTCATCAAAACAACCTCTGTGCTCACAGCAATTGGTAACTTCTTGCTCTTCCCATCCACTTCCACCTACTTTCTCCTCCACCCCTCACCAAATATTCACACCCAAAACAACTTTTCCATGTATAATAATAGCCAACTACCTGTAATGCAAAAAAACAATATTCTTAAATGCTGTACTAAGGTTTCAATAGTTTATAAGAATCGGCACATTCGCATATTTGGTCTATGTATCGCTTGATATCATGGTTATTTATACTGGATCGCTTAAGCGATACCCTTGATCGCTTAGCTCTTAAATACCTGATCGCTTACGATCTTATGCCATTACTGACGCTAAGCAATCTGCTCCATACAACGACTTTACCAGATCGCTTAGGATCTTATGCCACATACCTGATCGCTTAAGCGATCTATCTACTGCATTACCAGACCTACCGCTACGATACACAATCGCTTAAGCGATCCACTGCCCAGAACACATTTTCAGTCATCTCCACCTACAATCGATCCATCATACCCGAATAAATACCCAGAACAAATTCAACAAATTTCACTCCTTTCAACTACATTACATCAAACACAGCCCAACAACCTAAACAACTAAATCAAATCATAACCCAAACCCCATCCATTATAAATCTTTGTAAATCTAAATATAAAATGTAAAAGAGATACACATGCTTAGGCGAAATGTCAGGAGGAGGAGGAGGGAGATCTTTGCCGAGAAGATGTTAATGGTGGAGGAAGAAGAAGTGTTAATGGCGGAGGAACAGAAGATATAGAGAATGAGGAAGAGAAGATGTACAGGAAGAGAAAAAAAGATGCAGGAAGAAGAAATGTTACGACGCCAAGAAGAAGAGAAGAAGATGCAGGTAGATGCGTTAATGGCGGAGGAAGAAGAAGGTTTTGGTTTATTTGCAACAATTTCGGGTTTGTGGAATTAGATAATTTTGAAAGAATTACATTAATCCTAATAAGCACTAATTACCCGTAATCAATAATATGACTATTTAGTTAACATTTCAAACTTGATAGCCTTTTAATTAAATGTAAACTTCAAATGTCTTTTTAATAACTTCCCCCCCAAAAAACAAACCGCCCTATAAAGTTAGCCAAATATATGAACCAAATCAACCTATAAAATTGTAAACAAGTGGGACATTGAATGCATGAGTTTCTTTAATTAATCAGTTTTACTAATGAAGATTTCCCATTCGTCATAAATGGTTGATTAGCATGCAAGTACAATCACAACCGTGTTTTATTGATCTTAAAACAGCTCCGAGGCAGTTTCCTCATAACATTCTTCTACTGCATCCAAAGTTGTAGATTCCCCCATTAATGCGCGCCCTTTTCAATATGATCTCTAATTTAATACCAAGAGTATATTACAAACATCAAACATACCTTCTGATTTTTTTTCCCTAGGGCTCATTGAATTCAACATCAAACCTTCCAAAATGTTGCTGCTATTCTCTCTCTCTTTGCTGTGTGTGGTAATGTAGCCATGGCACATCGGTTCAAGCAGTAGCACCTCCACGGAGAGGCAGATTAGTCAGACACCAACATGGGCTGTTGCTATTGTTTGGTGCTGTTATCATCATCATTTCTTTTCTTGGAAAAAAATCTTCACAAACTTGGAACTGTAAGTTCATTTACTCTTATGCTTTTAGAAATTCTTATCTGCCAAGAGCTTCGTCATGTTTGTTCTATAACTGCCTTGACCCTTTAATTATCTTGTTAACTTGTCATTCCGGTTTTCTTAATTGTTTATGTTGGTCTCTCTTTTTTTCCCCCTTTTTTGAGGCACAATAACATTAAATTTCTGGTTTACATGTTATGTGTTGAAGTTCTTTGATTTTCATTCCTCATATTGCACTTAGTGCTGAGTTTTTACTCACTTTAGTCATGATTTAAGATTGGATTTTTCAAGGTTATACTAGAATTTGTAAGATTCTATGTAGTTCAAATGTGTTTGTTAATCTTAGAATGTTGTTGTATTCGGCCGGTTGATTGACTGTGGGTAATTTACTGGAATACAAATTCAGGTTCTTACAGAGAAGCACAAGGCGGCTTTGTTTGAAGCCCTTGAGAAGGTCAAATCTGGTAAGAAGGCAAATTTTCTTCTATACTTCTGGTAGTTTTTTGGGTGGACACAAAAATTGGGTGCTTAATTGACATTTAATATGTAATTTTTGCAGAGTTGATGGTTCTGGGATTCATTTCGCTCATACTCACTTTTGGGCGGGAGTACATTATCAAGATATGTATCCCTTTCAAGGTTGCAGCCACTATGCTGCCTTGCGTATCAGATAGTGTGAATGATGGAGAGTCAAGTAGCGAATCAGAACATCGTAGACGACTCTTGTGGTTTGACCATAGATACTTATCTTCTTCAAGTACAACTAATCCTGCATGCAAGTCGGTAAGTGCATATAAAGCTCAAATTATGGTTCCTTTCTACATTTTCCTAAATTGATAGCAGGTACATGGTATAGTGGAGATTTATGTTGTGACTGGCATGTATTGTATTTACTTTCTTGCAATGTATGAGCCATGACTTTTTGTGGTTTGAAATATTATGTTGACAACCTTCAATGCAGTGTTTTACTGCCAACATGACCAATGATAAACTTTCTTTTCCGGTTATAGGAGTTGGGTGGGTGCCTGGGGGTGACCTTGGTGCTACAAGCCAAAGAAAACTTAATATTAAAATTATTACGCTTACATATCTTTCATGCCTCAACAATCTTTTGATATGTTTTCATTGCTAGTGCATATGAAATCTAACCTGTGTGTTTCGGGATTCTAATTAAATCACAAGACTTAAAACATCCCAGATGCATATTCTTTTTGTTGAATGTCTCATGTAGTCATATAGAATTTAACATATATATACAAAGTTAGAACTATAAATTTGTTTTGAGTGATGAATTAACTCCTGGATAATGCAATATGAACCAAGCTTCATCTCCTGGTATTCAATTTGAACCTATATGTTGCATGGAAACATTGTCCTACTAAGATGCAAGACCTGCTGTACTTTTAACCCCTAAATTTTGATGGTTGATACCTTTTATGTACTAATCAAAATCCATAAATTCAAGTAATAGCTGATCTGTTTTCTGTCTACAGGGGTATGAACCGCTTATATCAACAGAAGCATTGCACCAATTACACATCCTCATATTCTTTTTAGCAGTCTTTCATGTCTTATACAGTGCTGTTACCATGTTGCTTGGGAGGCTAAAGGTATGAAATCTTTCAAAAAACCTTGCCATGATAATCAATTATGATGATGTCTTTTCCCTATGGTAACCACTGGATTTAGTTACTGACCAATAGTTATGTTGGACAGATTCGCGGCTGGAAGAAATGGGAGCAAGAGACTTCAACCAATGACTATGAGTTCTCAAATGGTATATTATCCATGAGAAAGTGAATATTTTTCTTTTTTCTTCATTAGTCAATATTGTGGCTTGAAATTTAGTGTTTGAGCCTCGAACATGATTTTCCATAGCTATATCTAAATCCCTGCATTTATGCTCATCTTTAAAGCTAATTCAGATCTGTATTAATACGCAGATCCTTCTAGATTCAGACTTACTTATCAGACATCTTTTGTAAGAGCACACACCAGTTTCTGGACCAAGCTTCCTATCATCTTTTATATTGTAAGTCGCATGTTCATCTTTCTTCTGTTTCTAGAGTTAGTAAAGCTCTAATGAGTCCCAAGTAGTAATGCAATTTTTTTAATTTGGCTTCAGAAGACATTACAATACAATATATATTAAAATCTCTATCTCAATTGCAGGGATGCTTCTTTCGACAATTTTTTATGTCTGTTAGTAGGTCTGACTACTTGACGTTGCGCAATGGATTCATCAATGTGAGTTTTCAGTTAAACAATTCACAGTTCCTAAAGTTAGGAAAGTTGAGTCTGTGGCTCTACCCTAACAATTCTGTATTAATGATAGGTTCATTTAGGTCCTGGAAGCAAATTTAACTTCCAAAAATATATTAAACGATCATTAGAGGACGACTTCAAGGTAGTGATGGGAGTAAGGTAATCCTCTTTTTATTTAATGTGTTTCTTATCATGCCGTGTTCTGCAGTTTTCTTGCACCACTCTTTCCTAATCAATTACATTTTTTTTATTTTTTTTGTTATTGGCAGTCCTGTCTTGTGGGCATCATTTGTGCTTTTCTTGCTTGTAAACGTTAATGGTGAGTCATCTTCTCCTGGAAAATGCCTTTTGAACTAAATGATTCTGCACTTTGAATTGAACTAGAAGTTGATATAGTTCATTAACATTTTTTTTTCTTTTCCTTTTCAGGATGGCAAGCATTGTTTTGGGCATCCTTAATCCCTGTGATTGTAAGAAATTTATTCTCTGTAACCTATCATCCTGACTTACTGGAAGAGTTGAAATCCTGAATACTATTAATTGGTTGCAGATAATCTTAGCTATTGGAATGAAGCTTCAATCCATTTTGACGAAGATGGCTCTTGAAATTACAGAAAAACATGCGGTGGTGCAAGGGATGCCACTTGTACAGGGCTCAGACAAATACTTTTGGTTTGGTCGGCCTCATTTAGTGCTTCATCTCATTCACTTCGCTTTGTTTCAGGTACTGAATGACTTCCTCTTTCGCAGATAGAAGATCTTTAATAAATATGATTAGAGTGAAATTGGAGTAAAGTAAGATCAAAGAACTGAATTGAATTACTTGCTGTAGACTTTTATGCATGCTGTATGTAGATTATGATAAACGGAAGCTTCATTTTATAACTTAAAGAACATTCAAAGGGGTTGTCTTTTGCTCTTCATCCCATCTGTTTCTTATGTAAGAGATCCATAAAGTGAAATTAATTTGGTTTGGATACCCTTACTATTAAATGCATCCATTCAATTGATGCGGCCTTAGTGCTACATTTCATTTTGAGTCAATAGACAACAATTCTTCATCCTCGGTCTATAATTTCCATACTATTTTCTTTCGAAAGATCTTTCTGTAGGGGACTCGATCCTTGATTTGTAGGTCAATTCTGTGACTCTTTAGTTTAATAGCTTATGGCCATTTAATTCTGATACCGCTCTCTGCGGTAATCAACCACAGTGGATACTTCTACTGGTACTTGTTTACTTGCAAAGTTTAAAACTGTTCCAGTGACCAGCTAACTCTTTTTGTGCTTTTTGGGTGCTTGCAGAATGCTTTCCAGATTACATATTTCTTTTGGATATGGGTAAAGAATCCTTCTATGCAAATTAAACAATTAAATAACAGTTGCTCCTCCTCAGATTCTCCTACTTTCGTAATTAATGCAAATATCACAATTACATTATAACGAAGTTTTTCTTTGTGTGCAGTACTCTTTTGGATTGTATTCTTGCTTCCATTCTAATTTCAAGCTTGCAATATTGCAAATTGTTTTCGGGTAAGCCATATTTGTCTTCTCAGTAACAGGAACACTTTCAATCAAATGCTGAACAACAAACTTTTTAGTTCAATGAGGACATTAATTGTCAATACTTACCCATCCAATAACCCGTGTAGCATTCTTGCAATGTATCATAATATGAATTCATGGCTGAATATTTGTTGGGTTTGCAGGGTTGTGGTCTTAGTTCTATGCAGCTACATCACACTTCCTCTGTATGCCCTTGTCACGCAGGTACATTTATTTTTCAATTATAAATGTGGATAAAAACAACGATGTGTGCAATACATTAATCCTTGACCAATTTGTTAGAACAAGTAGTATTTTTGGAGCTTCATATTATTTGTTTTCCTGTTTGTTATTCTACAAGTTATGCATGACTGAACTAAATAAAATTATCCCTGCTGTGAATACTTGTAGATGGGTTCACGCATGAAGAGATCAATCTTTGATGAACACACGTCCAAGGCCCTCAAGAAGTGGCACATGGCAGTGAAGAAGCCGAAGGGAGGAAAGTCCCCAACTCGAACGCTAGGGGAAACTGTAAACCCAAGCATTTCAACACTGCACTCTCAAGCAGAACACAGACTACAACGTTTCAAAACAACAGGTCACTCTATACGCTCATACACCCATGACTATCATGGGGAAGATAACAGCAATGAAAGTGACTTCTCATTTGTGAACCCTGCTTTGGCGAATGAACCATGATATAGTTTCAGCACTGGTACAAACTTTGAAGGGATAAATATAGGGTGCGTTTGGTTACATATTTCTATCTATATTCCCAATCCTATTCCCCAAATATTGTTTGGCACATTATTTGAGAAATATTACTATTAATTACTTTTAGACTCTTTAAATTTATTAATTTCATAAATATCCCAAAAAAGTTTAAAAATTAACAAAAACACCCCCACCGACTCATATTGCCAGATTCCAACAACCACCATCGATGGTAGCCAGAATCTGTCACAGCGGCTTACACCACGATCGGAACTAGCCGACAGCTCCACCAAACATATTCAGAATCCATCATCCCAAGTTGTCGAGCTACATCAAGAACTTCTAGACCCTCAGCATCATGAATATGAAGAACAATGACTCGAGACTCCATTGAAGCCACAGTAACCAGTGCATTGGTCATCTCAAGCCGGCTGCCTTTAGGGGTTAAGGAACGTTTTTCAGCCAGCCCATCTCCTAGTGCAGTGATACCGTTTCTTCCATAATCATCATCAACATACACAGCTGTTACATCTTTCCATCCATAGTAGTCAACAATATCTGCTATAGCAGCCATCTGAAAGAGATCACTCTGTATTGTCCTAACAAAGAAGGGGTACTGAAGTGGAGATAGCGCTGGATCTGTTGCTGAAAATGATAACAGAGGGACATGAAGCTCATTGGCAATGTTTGAAACTAAATGAGCTGTAACTGAAAATTGAGGGCCTATGATCGCCACATTTTCCTTCTCCAATAACACTAAAGCTGTAGAAAATGATTAAAAAAAGGTTAAAAATTAGAATCAGTGGCTCATATAGCCATATATGATTCTAATAATTTATTAGATAAAAATAGAAAACGATATATTGGTAGGATTCACCCTCAAGCAAGGCAGGAAAACCGCTGTAATTTGTGTCCTGCATCGTTAGCTTCAGCTTAGTTCCACCGATGATACTTGGGCTAGAATTCACATCTTCCACAGCAGCATCTATTGCAACTTTTACCAATCTGCCAATGGTAGAATTGAAGGAGAAAACAGCCCCAACGTTTACAACAGTAGGAATTGTAGCTACATTTGTACCATCCCCACTTGAAAACAAATTGTATAAAACTACTAAAGCCAATGGCAAAATTTTAGTCATAGCGAAATGATCTAGCTAATCGCTTATCACCAACTCCAAAATCTCAGATTATTCAGCTAAGAACACAAGTAAACGACCAAATCTCCAACGTATGCACTAGAAACGCCAAAAGATATGCCAAAGATTTCAGCAACCAAGTATGAAATGAATAGAGATACGAAAGGAAAAACAAACTAAGAAATCAAGGAAAGATTACTCTCTAGATGAGCTGAGAACGATCTGTGTTCTGCAAGCTAAATGCCCAGAACTCAACTACTTACCAGGGAGGCAAATAGATAGGTAATAATCTATAAACATTATATCCAAAAGAAAAGACACAAATTTGTGAAGAAAAAAAGTGATTAAACAAAGAAGAAGAAGTAGAAATTTAGCTGGTCTGTCAGATTGAATTACAACCATGGAGTCAGTCTGCCTTCATCCAAACCATTGACTATATATTTCTTACACGTTGGTTAACTCATTTCCAATTGTTTTATAGAAATTAGGTGGAACAATGCGATCATGTTATGGGAATCACATCCCCATGCTTTGCTCTACAATCAATTATTTTTATATAATTTGATTTGGATGATGCATGCACGTGTATAAATGACAAATGAAAACGAAAACTAGGTTTGGACTTTTCTAGGAGTGCTATTTTGAAATGAAAACAAAGAACACATGTTTAACTCTCTCTCCACTGACCTCCACTCAACACGCCGGCGCTTCCCATCCTCATTTCTGGCGAGCTCTCCGACAGCACCTGAACATGAAAAATTTTGCATGCAAAAATTTCGTGGAGAGGAAAAAAGGCATGGAACGCAACACCGGGAAATTAAAAGGCTTTGAACAGCCCCCTTGAAAGGTGAGGACTGAAGGTGGAAGCGGACACCAGTAGACCAGTTGCATATTAAAATTTTGAAGTGATGGTTTGGCGGTTGTTCATAGTTGAGAAACGAGGAGGGAAATTGTGACGATTTTCTAAAGTTTTGTGGAGAGTATAGTAGGTTGTTGATTCTTTCTCGTTCAAAAGGGGTTTACATGAATTTTATGAAACTTATGGGGAGGTAAATGGTTTTTATGAAATTTCGCCGTATCAATAAGCCCCCCAGACTTTCAGTTTTATTTAAGCCCCCCACCGTTAATCGGCCTAAAACAAACAATTAGTAGAAACCCAATAACGCATGGGCCTGTAAAAGGGCCACTTGAGTTAGCCATGGACCAGATGAATTATTACAGTTCTTTCATATTTTGTTAGAGAAAAAGACAAAATGTATATGTTTAATCATTCATATTAATGTTATGTTAGGATACACTAACAGAATTTTTTTTTTTTTTTAATTGGAGTGTTCGGATCAGTTTGTGTATACCTCAATTAATCTTTATGGTTTATTAAACACCTTATAAGCCCAGATAATCAAATAAGTCATAATATTATTACGATAAATAGTCCCAAATTTTAAATCCAAAAACTCAAGGAATAAAACAAACCCCTTTGATCACTAGACCAACCCCTTTAGGTTTAAACTAACATATTCGATTGATAGTTATGAGTAAATCTAGAAACGCCAGAAGAAAAGGAAAAATTCCACCTTCTTATTTCTATTTTTACTCTACAGTAAAGGTGGAACAAATGAGCCGGGTTAGGTGGGTTAACCCTAACTCAGCCCGCATTAGAGAGGATTCAACCCGGACCGCTTTATAGGCAGGCCGGGTTGAACCCAACGCACATGCAACCCCCAGACGAGTCGGGTTGCTATATGGCAACCCGCTAACCCGACGGGTTGGCCCAAAAGAATTAAAAATTAATTATTTTTTTTAAATTTTGCAGGGAACATTGGCCACAGCAACAACCCTTTATTTAGTTTAAAGGGCAATTGCAAAGAGAGGTCCAACTTGACACATTGTTATTATTATTTTTTATGGTACATAAAATATAAGAAAATTAAATACTAAAGTCTTATTCTCAAATTTCCATGTCTTGTATAAAATATAATTCATTCTTCTGCTAAAGTTTCATCAATGAAACCGTATATAAATACTAATAAACTGTGATACCATTACATTTTACAATTAAACTATATAAATTTAAAAAAATAAAAAAGATAATCCAAAATATTATTTATTATTTATAATAAATTTTTAAATACTTTAGCACTAAAATATATTTAATTAAAAAATCAAACATTTTTTAAGACTAAGTCCTAATACGACCCATTATAAAAAGATTTATTAACAAATTAACCATTGATGATCCAAACCGATAAGAGTAATACTACATATACAACATTCTCATACAATATTTCTCATATAGCATTATGTGGCAAAAGATAATTAAGTGAAAGTTTGATTTAAATTTAAAATCATTCAATCTTATTTTGTTATATAATATTGTATAAAAATATTGTATGTGTAAACCACCCCTAACTTAGTCGTTTTGTAAATTGTAACTTTTAAATTAGTTGTCAATTATTGCACTCTTTTTTCTTTACCAAGTTTTTGTCCCATTGGGTTTTTTTTGGTGAGGTTTTTAAAGAAGTAATAATTATTGTAATTTCTTATTTTATTTTTTGATAAATAAATAAATCTAATTTTTCTTATATTATAATTTTATTGTATTAAAATTGAATTAATATTTGAAATGTTAACAGAAAAAAAATTAATTTAATTGAATTATTAATATTTGAAAAGTTAACTAAAAACAATTACATTAATTCATTTATAAATTGTTAATTATTCATTTAAAAAGTTAACTAAACAAAACAAAATAAAATAAAAATAAAAAAATGGGGCTAACCCGGCCCAACCCGTAGCCTAACCCAACAAGTTAGGGTTGGCGGGCCTGACTAGGCCAACCAATCCCCAAAAAATGGCAGGCCTAACCCGGCCTACCTTTGTTGGCAGGCGGGTTAGGACCGACTTGCCAAAATTAGTAACCCACCATGGGTCGGGTCAGGTCAGACCGGGCGGGTTACTCTAACTTGGCAAGCCGGGCTGGGCCAACCAATCCCTAAAAAATGGCAGGCCTAATCCGGCCTACCTTTGTTGGCAGGTGGGTTAGGACCGACTTGCCAAAATTAATAATCCATCATGGGTCGAGTCAGGTCGGGCCGGGCCGAACGGGTTACTTTTCCATCTTTACCCTGCAGTAATCACACTAGTAATCAGTTATACTTAACAATATAGTGACTTTATGCAAGTCCAAACAAGAAGTCAACTCAATTGTTAATAGTACATTTAGGTATGTATGAACAATGGACGTTGACTCATCTTACTTTTCTCTCTCCAAGCTCACCAATCAAAAACCGCCTTATAAAGTAAGCCAAATATATGAACCAAAACAACCTATAAAATATGTGAACAAGTGGGCCATTGAAGATTTCCCATGGCGTCATAAATGGTTGATTAGCATGCAAGTACAATCACAAACGTGTTTTCATTTAATACCTGAGAGTATATTACAAGCATCAACCGTACCTTCTGATTATTTTTTTCCTGGGGCTCATTGAATTCAACATCAAACCTTCCAAAATGTTGCTGCTATTCTCTCTTTCTCTGTTGCTGGTGTGTGGTAATGTAGCCATGGCAGCATCGAGTTCAAGCAGTAACACCTCCACGGAGAGGCAGATTAGTCAGACACCAACATGGGCTGTTGCCATTGTTTGTGCTGTTATCATCATCATTTCTATTTTCTTGGAAAAAACTCTTCACAAACTTGGAACTGTAAGTTCATTTACTTTTCTTATGCTTTTAGAAATTCTTTACTGCCAAGAGCTTCGTCATGTTTGTTCTATAACTGCCTTGTCCCTTTGAATTATCTTGTTAACTTGTCATTCGGGTTCTTTATATTGTTATGTTTGATTCTCTCTTTTTTCCCCCTTTTCTGAGGCACAATAAACATTAAATTTATGGTTTACATGTTATGTGTTTGAAGTTCTTTGATTTTCATTCCTCATATTGCTACTTAGTGCTGAGTTTTTACTCACTTTAGTCATGATTTAAGATTGGATGTTTCAACGGTTATACTAGTAAATATGTAAGATTCTCAATGTAGTTCAAATAGTGTTTGTTAATCTTAGAATGTTGCTGTATTCGGCCCTTTGATTGACTGTGGGTAATTTACTGGAATACAAATTCAGGTTCTTACAGAGAAGCACAATGCGGCTTTGTTTGAAGCCCTTGAGAAGGTCAAATCTGGTAAGAAGATAAATTTTCTTCTATACTTCTGGTAGTTTTTGGGTGGACACAAAAATTGGGTGCTTAATTGATATTTAATATGTAATTTTTGCAGAGTTGATGGTTCTGGGATTCATTTCGCTCATACTCACTTTTGGGCAGAAGTACATTATCAAGATATGTGTCCCTTTCAAGGTTGCAGCCACTATGCTGCCTTGCGTATCAGATAGTGTGAATGATGGAGAGTCAAGTAGCGAATCAGAACATCGTAGACGACTCTTGTGGTTTGACCATAGATACTTATCTTCTTCAAGTACAACTACTCCTGCATGCAAGTCGGTGAGTGCATATAAAGCTCAAATTATGGTTCCTTTCTACATTTTCCTAAATTGATAGTAGGTACATGGTATAGTGGAGATTTATGTTGTGACTGGCATGTATTGTATTTTCTTTTTTGCAATGTATGAGTTTTTTTTTTTTGTGGTTTGAAATATTATGTTGACAACCTTCAATGCAGTGTTTTACTGCTAACATGACCAATGGTGAATTTTCTTTTCCTGTTTTTGGAGTTGGGTGGGTGCCTGGGGGTGACCTTGGTGCTACAAGCCAAAGAAAACTTAATATTAAACTTATTACGCATAGATATCTTTCATGCCTCAGCAATCTTTCGATATGTTTTCATTGCCGATGCATATGACATTTAACCTGTGTGTTTCTAGATTACAATTAAATCACAAGACTTACGACATCCCATATGCATATTCTTTTTGTTGAATATCTCATGTAGTAGTATCGAATTTAACATATATATACAAAGTTAGAACTATAAATTTGGTTTTGAGTGATGAATGAAATCCTGGATAATGCAATATGGACAAAGCTTCATCTCCTGGTATTCAATTTGAAGCTTCTATGGAAAATTTATAATTTCTCATGCAAGGTATATGTTACATGGAAACACTGTCCTACTAAGATGCAAGACCTACTGTACTTTTACCTTGAAAATTTTGATGGTTGATACCTTTTATATCCTAATCAAAATCCATAAAGTCAAGTAATAGCTAATCTGTTTTCTGTCTACAGGGGTATGAACCGCTTATATCAGCAGAAGCATTGCACCAATTACACATTCTCATATTCTTTTTAGCAGTCTTTCATGTCTTATACAGTGCTGTTACCATGTTGCTTGGGAGGCTAAAGGCATGAAATCTGTCAAAAAAACCTTGCCATGATAATCAATTATGATGTTATCTTTTCCCTCTGGTAACTACTGGATTTAGTTACTAACCAATAGTTATGTTGGACAGACTCGGTGCTGGAAGAAGTGGGAGCAGGAGACTTCAACCCATGACTATGAATTCTCAAATGGTATAATATCCATGAGAAACTGAATATTTTTCTTTTTTCTTCATTAGTAAATGTTGTGGCTTGAAATTTGGTGTTTTTAGCCTCGAACATAATTATGCCATAGTTATATCTCAATACCTGCATTTATTTTCATCTTTAAAGCTAATTGAGATCTGTATTAATATGCAGACCCTTCTAGATTCAGACTTACTCATCAAACATCTTTTGTAAGAGCACACACCAGTTTCTGGACCAAGCTTCCTATCATCTTTTATATTGTAAGTAGCATGTTCACCTTTCTTCTGTTTCTGGAAATAGTAAAGCTCTTATAATTCTTAATTAGTAATACAATTATTTTAAGTTGGCTTCAGAAAACATTACAATACAATATATCTGAAAATCTCTATCTCAATTGCAGGGATGCTTCTTTCGACAATTTTTTAGGTCTGTTAGTAGGTCTGACTACTTGACGTTGCGTAATGGATTCATCAATGTGAGTTTTCAGTTAAACAATTCACAATTCTTAAAGTTAGGAAAGTTGAGTTTGTGGCTCTATCCTAACAATTCTGTATTAATGATAGGTTCATTTAGCTCCTGGAATGAGATTTAACTTCCAAAAATATATTAAACGATCATTAGAGGACGACTTCAAGGTAGTGGTGGGAGTAAGGTAATACTCTTTTTATTTAATGTGTTTCTTATCATGCCGTGTTCTACAGTTTTCTTGTACCACTCTTGCCTAATCAATTAGATGTCGAATATGTTTCTGTCCTGACAGTTTTTTTTTTTTTGGGTTATTGGCAGTCCTGTCTTGTGGGCATCATTTGTGCTTTTCTTGCTTGTAAACGTTAATGGTGAGTCATTTTCTCCTGGAAAATGCCTTTTGAACTAAATGATTCTGCACTTTGAATTGAACTAGAAGTTGATATAGTTCAATTAACATATTTTTTGGCCTTTTCAGGATTGCAAGCATCATTTTGGGCATCCTTAATCCCTGTGATTGTAAGAAATTTATTCTCTGTAACCTATTATCTTGACTTACTGGAAGAGTTGAATTTCTGAATACTATTAATTGGTTGTAGATAATCTTAGCTATGGGAATGGAGCTTCAATCCATTTTGACACAGATGGCTCTTGAAATTACAGAAAGACATGTGTTGGTGCAAGGGATGCCACTTGTACAGGGCTCAGACAAATACTTTTGGTTTGGTCGGCCTCATTTAGTGCTTCATCTCATTCACTTTGCTTTGTTTCAGGTACTGAATGACCTCCTCTTTCGCAGATAGAAGATCTTTAATAAATATGATTAGAGTGAAATTGGAGTAACGTAAGATCAAACAAGTGAACTAAATTACTTGCTGTAGACTTTGCTGTGTCTAGATTATGATAAATGATAGCTTCATGTTATAACTTGAAGAACACTCAAAGAGGTTGTCTTTTGCTCTTCATCCCATCTGTTTCTTAAGTAAGAGATCTATGAAGTGAAATTAATTTGGACTGGATACCCTTACTATTAAATGCATCCACTGAATTGATGCGGCCTTGGTGCTACATTTCCTCTTTGAGTCAAGATACATCAATTCTTCATCCTCGGTTTATAATTTCCATACTATTTTCTTTCAAAAGATCTTTCTATAGGCGACTCGATCCTTGATTTGTAGGTCAATTCTGTGACTGTTTAGTTTTATAGCTTATGGCCATTTAATTCTGATACCTCTCTCTGCGGTAATCAACCACAATGGATACTTCTGCAGTTACTTGTTTACTTGCAAAGTTCAAAACTGTTCCTGTGACCATCTGACTCTTTCTGTGCTTATTGGGTGATTGCAGAATGCTTTCCAGATCACATATTTCTTTTGGATATGGGTAAAGAATCCGTCTATGCAAATTAAACAATTAAATAACAGTCCCCGCTCCTCAGCTTCTCTTACTTTCATAATTAATGCAAGTAGCACAATTACATTATAACGAAGTTTTTCTTTCTATGCAGTACTCTTTTGGATTGTATTCTTGCTTCCATTCTAATTTCAAGCTTGCAATATTGCAAATTGTTTTCGGGTAAGCCATATTCGTCTTCTCAGTAACAGAAACACTTTCAATCAAATGCTGAACAACAAACTTTTTAGTTCAACAAGGACATTAATTGTCTACACTTACCCATCCAGTAACCCGTGTAGCATTCTTGCATTGTATCATAACATTATTGAAGCTTTGGAGGTTGAACTTAAATTGATATTGTAAATTTTTCGGTTGCCTTGAATTCATGGCTGAATATTTGTTGGGTTTTGCAGGGTTGTGGTCTTGGTTCTATGCAGCTACATCACACTTCCTCTATATGCCCTTGTCACTCAGGTACATTTATTTTTCAATCATAAATGTGGATAAAAACAACGATGTGTGCACTGTGCAATACAGTAATCCTTGACCAATTTGTTAGAACAAGTAGTATTCTTGGAGCTTCATATTATTTGTTTTCCTGTTTCATTTAATGTTTGTTATTCTACAAGTTATGCATGGTTGAACTAAATAAAATTATCCCTGGTGAGAATACTTGTAGATGGGTTCACGCATGAAGAAATCAATCTTTGATGAACCAGCATCCATAGCCCTCAAGAAGTGGAGCTTGGCAGTGATGAAGCAGAGAGCGGCACTGAAGAAGCGGAAGCGAGGAATGTCCCCAACCGGAACGCCAGGGGAAAGTGTAAGCCCAAGCCCTTCAACAGTGCACTCTCAAGGAGGACACAAACTACAACGTTTCAAAACAGCAGGTCAATCTACACGCTCATACACCTGTGACGACAATGAGGCATCTGATAATGATGCTGATCCATCATCACCGAAATCACCAACAGGCAGCTTTGTTATAAATGTGGATAAAAATAACGATGGAGTAATTGAAGTAAATGAACCCCATCATGGAGAAGATAACAGCAATGAAGGTGACTTCTCATTTCTGAACCTTGCTCTGGCGAATGAACCATGATATAGTTTCAGCGTTGGTATAAACTTTGAAGGGATAAATATAGATTTGGCTTTGTTTTAAGCCCAAATTTTGCTTAATGATAGAGTTAGTGAATTGGATTAATGCATGGATGAATCTTATGATGATAGAAGATTGATGTTCAAAATGGTTTCAACCGCAAATTAGACAAAGATCTTTCATCGTTAGCTTCAGCTTAGTTCCAACTTCCACCGAGGATACTTGGGTTAGAATTCACACCTTCCACAGCAGCATCTACTGCAACTTTTACAACTTTGCCAATGGTAGATAATGAAATTTCACCATATCAATAAGCCCCCCTGAGGTATAAGTATTATTTAAGCCCCCTACCGTCAATCGGCCCAAAACGGACAATAAATTACTTAACAAGTAGAAACCCAATAACGCATGGGCCTGTAAAAGTGGTCTTATTTCTTGGATCCAGATCCAATCCCACTTGAAATATTCTTAAACCTTCAAATACGGATTAGCCATGGACAGATGAATTATTACAGGTTACTGTAACTCTTGGATTCAAATTTTATTGGAGAAAAAGACAAAGTATCTGTGTTTAACAGATTGTTAACCTTAATAATCATTCATATTAATGTAACGTTCCATTAGACTAACGGATTTGACTGACAGTTATAGGCAGATATCACCTTTCTATTCCGCAGTAATCACACTACTTAAAAATATAATGATTTATATGTTTGAAATTGAGGTTAAGTGTTCACATCTACTTAAAGTCTTACCGCGTCCTTTTCTTTGAGGCAGTTATTAAAAGGTCACCTCAAGTTTAAATTTAATCAAAAGGCTATAAAGTTTTAAAGTGTTAACTAAATAGTCTTATTATTGATTAAGGGTAATTAAACTTGATTAGTGCTTAATTAGGATTAATGAAGTATTATATAATATTTTAAAAATTATAGTATATTCCAAAAAACTCAAAATTCTTGCAAACAAACCCAAACACCTTCTTCTTCCTCCCGTCATTAATGCATCTCTACCTTGGTTGCTGTTTCTTTTTAGCTTCATCTACATCTTCTTCTTCCTCCTTCCTCTGCATCTTCTTCTTCCTCATTCATCTACATCTTCTTGTTTCTCCATCATTAACACTTTCTTCTTCCTCAATCATTAACATCTTCTCCGCCAAAGATCCCCCTCTTCCTTCTCTTGACATTTCGTCTAAGTATGTGTATCTCCTCTTTACATTTTATATTTAGATTTACAAAGATTTAATAATGGATGGGGTTTGGGTTATGACTGTGATTTAGTTGTTTAGGTTGTTGGGTTGTGTTTGATGTAATGCAAGTTGAAAGGAGTGAAATTTATTGAAAATTTATTCTGGGTATGTGTTCTGGGTATGATGGATCGATTGTAGGTGGAGATAACTGAAAATGTGTTATGGGTATGATGGATCGCTTAAGCGATCTGGTAGGTCTGGTAATGCAGCAAATAGATCGCTTAAACGATCAGGTATGTGGCATAAGATCGCTTAAGCGATCTGGTAAAAGTCTAGTGTATAGGAGCAGATCACTTAAGCGATCAGTAAATGGCATAAGATCGCTTAAGTGATCAAGTGTATCGCTTAAGCGATCCAGTATAAATAACCATGATCACTTAAACGATACAGCAGACCATATAAGCGACTGTGCATATTCTTTTTAAAATATTTGAACCCTTAGTACAGCATTTAAGAATATTTTTTTTCTTGCATTACAGGTAGTTGGCTATTATTACACATGAGACAAGTTGTTTTGGGTGTTGAATATTTTGGTGAGTGGATAGAGGGAGAAAGTAGTTGAAAGTGGATTGGGAAGAGCAAAGAAGTTATACCAATTGCTGTGAGCACAGAGGTTAGTTTTGATTAGTTGATTGATGAAATAATTAGAAGAGATAATTTGAGTTGCTCGCGTAGTGATATAGTTGTGAAGTATGTTTTAAGCAGAGTTCCTGAACATTATAAGGTACCTCCTGCTATATTAAAGTCGGATGAAAGTGTGAAGTTATATATGATTGATGTGGCTGATAATGGTTCGAGGCCGATTTTAAGGGTTTCTTTTGTAGAAAAACCGTTGTAAGTTGGTTCAAAGGAAGGGAATAACGAGGAAGTAGCTGGAGATTTGCCTGGTTTTAATTTGAACTACGAGGCCATTGATTTGTTAGTTGAAAAATCAAGAGTAGACGGTGAATTGGGTGGTGAGGAGGATACTGTAGAAGAGGTTGGTGATGGGGGGCAGAATAAAAATGTTGAGGAGGAGGACCCCGTACATGTTTCCACAGATGTAAAGATTCATTTAAATACAAATTATGCAGAAGGCGTAGATTGTGAGGAAGAGAACACTATGGTTGTTTATACAGGTTAAGAGAGGACAATTGGAGGTAGTAGTGAATCAACTCATGTTTTTACGGATGGATCTGAGTTGCTCATATGGTATTTATTTGACAACAAAGAGGAAGTGGTGAGAAAGCTAAAATTTGTTGCCATGAGAGATAATTTTAAGTTCATCACCACAAAGTCAAATTCATTGGCTGTGATGGTTGCATGTCGTGACCGAAAGTGCAAGTGGCGGGTTTATTGTAAAAAGTTGGCAGAGTCAGAAAATTTTATTCTTAGCACATATACCCGTGAGCACACATGTGGTTTGGAACATATTTCAGGTGAGTGTCGACAAGCGTCCGCTGATGTCATTGGACAATTTGTCAAAAGTCGGTTCATTGAAGGGAAAGGTCCATCTCCTAAAGACATTCAGAGACTTGTGCACACAGAGTTGGGATGTGCTGTTAGTTACTGGAAATGCTGGAAAGGGAGACAACGTGCACAAGATTTTGTGAGGGGCACGTCGGAGCACGAGTACGCAGTATTAGAAGCGTACCATTATATGCTTGAGCTGACAAACCAAGGTAGCAAAATGGCTTTGAAGTGGGACGGGAATATGATGTTTAAATATTTTTTTTTGTTGCTTACGGTTTTGCTATAAGGGGTTTTGTAAACATGTGTTTATGGAAAAATGTGTTTAAAGTGTGGACTTTGGATTAATTCTTTCATAAATACCATTTATGGGATCACAGGTGCATTTTGAGTATTTTTAGGCTCAAACAGATTTTTAAAGGGAAAAGAATGATGTCGATGGGATTCACAATGCGTAGGAACAAACGGCACAAGAATCAGAGTCGAAACGAGAAAGTTGTGGCGCGTCGGACTCTTTCTTATTACTTGCACGATTTCGTACACTTGCGAATAGCCGGTCAAAACCTTATTATAAAACCCTATGGCTCTCAGACTCTTTCTTATTACGTCTGCATGCTTATCTGGCACTTCCCCACATCCTAAGCCCGTCACCAAGGCATATTCCATCATCCCAAAACGTAGTGGCTTTCCGCCCACCACGAACCACATTTCTTTTTTTTTTTTTTTTTTTATTGCATTTTACTGAGTGCAGCAACATGTAATGCACTCCCTGCCCCCAAAATGCCTTTTTCCAATTCGTTCCGATTCTTAAAAACTGACCGAAACAAGTGCGACGGAAATCTCTTCTACCATGCGCCATTCCATCTAAAATGTCATTTATTCTCTCAAAAACTTCCCAACTTGACATGACCGTCACCCTTGCAGGGAAGTAGGGTACCTTCTCGCTTACAAGGTCCAACTCGTAGTCTCTATAGTTTATGGTCCGCACAATCTGCACAATCGATATAAACAAAATGTCAGCAACAAAAATAAACCAAAACAACTAATAAACAAAATATCAGCAACAAAAAATTACCATTGTGGTCGCTTAAACGATTTCGGATCGCTTAAGAGATCTTGACTCTGCCTCGTGCAAGAGTCAAGATCTTGACTCTGCCTCGTGCAAGATCGCTTAAGCGATCTGAAATCACTTAAGCGACCAAGAGTAAACTGAAAGAATCTCTTAAGCGATACAAAAGATCGCTTAAGTGATCTTATATCTATGATTCTGCCTCGAAAAGATTGCTTAAGCGATCTGAAATCGCTTAAGTGACCAAGAGTAAATTGAATCAATCGCTTAAGCGATATAAAGGATCGCTTAAGTGGCCATGAGTAAAAGAGGTTAATCGCTTAAGCGATACAAATGATCGCTTAAGCGACAGTACAGAGCAATACTCCCAAAACAAATACATACCCTTTCTTCGCCGGCCTCCTCGTCGCCTGCATTCTCGCCGGCCTCCTCCTCATCGCATGAATCCTCAAAAGACTCCTCCTAGCCTGAATCCTCACCGGACTCCTCCTCCTCACCTGAATTCTCGCCTGACTCCTCGTCTTTAGAACCGTTTTACGATTCTTCTCTTTGTTATTGTGCTGTCGTTGTCTCCTCTGCCTGTGGACCACCTTCCCTGATCAGATGATCCACCGAAGCAGCCATTGAACTGCTTGCGCCACCGGAATCTAGGATTCGAAGTGGCTTGGGTTTTCCTCCTCATTGTCAGTGTCAGCCATGGTTTTAGATTGAATTTGGTGTCAAAATTTGCAGTTTCGATCGGAAATGTGGACTGTATCACCGAAAATTACATAGATTCCGTTTACGGTTCAAGAAATCAATCGAAAATCGCGATTATATCACCGGAAATCGCGACTGTATTCCGTTTAGGGTTCAAGAAATTGATTTTAGGATTGAATATGGTGTGCAAATTTGCAGGTTCGATCGAAAAATCGCAGTGTCTCCCTTTGGCTCAAGAAATCGCTTTTTGCCCTAATGAATTTCGATTAAGCGAGGTGAATATGTGGGGCTTGTTTTGATAAATTTCAAATTTTAAAAACTTTCATTATTTATGATTCGGCCCACATATGTTTTAATCTTTTTATTTTAACCTATTTTACGTGTTTAATGATTCCTAACTATGCCACATCAACTTCTCTAAATTAAAAAAAAATGAAAAACATTTTCAAGGCCATTTTGTTAAATGGAAACTTGGGATGGCCGCGCAGCTAAATTTTCTCATTTTCTTTTTGCATAGAATATGGTTGATTAGGTTTTGTCAATCATCAACTCCTTAAGAAATTGATTCT